GGTCGAGGCAGATGGTCTCCTGTCCTGAGCCTGGTTCTGCTGGAGGTTTCTTCCTGATTAGCAGGGAGTTTTTCCTCTTCACCGTTTGCTCAGGATGGGAGACTGTGATGAAGTGATTCAACACAATCTGCTGCTTTCTTCTTTACATTGTTCTTTTTATGTACAGCTGAGACGACGTATGTTGTGACTTGGTGCTATATAAATAAACTGAATTGATTAACCATTTATTTAAATTTACATCTTTAAACTCAGACTTTTCTTTTATTTTTCTGTGGAGCCAACAGGAATCTGTAAAAGCAGCAATGCAGGATCTCCTCCTTCAGGGACTCATGAGCGCCATCTTGTGGTCGTTATAAAACACAGCAGGATCAGTTGTCTGCAGATATAAACCCAACAGAACCAAACAGCGTCATATGCAGTGGTGTCACTAGGCCTAAAAAAAGGTAGTAAAAAATGTCAGACTGATAAAAAGACACAAATGTTTAGGTTCTCATCTAGTTTATTGATGGTTTCTATTTTGTACACAAAGCTGCAGTAAAACCAACAGATCTACAAAAACAAAAGGAAAAGTTCCATGAAAGAAAAGTGGGATGCACAGACACAAAACAGCCAGTTGACTTTAGACGGGCCTCAGATAAAAAGAAAAGCCGATCGAAGGGAAACGAGATTCTGGTTTAATCATTGACTGGAAAATAAAGTCTGCTGGACTCCGACTCCCCCTGAGGTTCCCACACACAACTGATGGTGAACGCTTTAAAAGAAGGCACTTGAACAAGGGATTGCATCACGTAGCAGTGCATATTCCATTTCATTTCCTCAGAGACCTGATCTGGGGCGTTTCCTCCGCTGGACTAAATAAACAGAACCCCAAAGGTGGCAGCGGGACTCGTGGGGGGGGTCTGTAAACCGTCCGGGCCGATCCTGCTCAAGAAACAATGAAATAGACATTTTCTATAAAACCCTTACATCCTGGACGAGCTTTGGTTTGAGTGTGCCTCTGTACTGATGGGCACATTCTGCACAGGGAGGGAGAATCGACCCAAATCAACCATCCTTTAAAGTTGTTCCAATTAAATGTTGCCAAACCGTTTAATGAACCCAATAAACTCTGAGGAGTCTATAAATACATTCAACATCTGTGTGGGAGGCAAAGCATTACAGAAAATATCTCTTTATTGGGTGGATTCTCCCTGAAAAAAAAACTAAAAGAGTAAATTTTTAGTAAACATTTGTCAAACTGTTGCATATACTATGACTAAAGGATTGCACACAGACCGTAACACTTCTTTACATTATAGAACATTTAGTAGAAAATAGAATCCTGGGTTTATCGATACATATCTTTTCATATACATTCGGGTTAAAGCGAAGGCTGGGCTGGATTAAGCAAATATGAAATACAGTCAAAAACACGGAGTCGGGCTGGTGGGTACGCGGGTGGGCTACATGGCTAACATTCAGGTTTGAGTCGCTCGCTGACAGAAAAACATCTGAACTAGTTTTCTGTTCATATCCAGGGTCAGGTTCTGGGTTTGAACTGGGTTTTAGTTTATTTATGAGGTACTGAATTGGCCCGGTCTCTCTTGAAAAACATATTTAATGACAATGAAATTGACCTGGTTAAATAAAGGTTTACATTTTAAAAAACGGATTTTGTAGTTGAATTTTTAAATTAATGGCATTGTAGAAATTTTTGACCTTTTTTTTTAAACTGAGAAGACCTGACCTCACTACAGTCTGATGACATATTTATTATTTATCATAACGACACACAGAAGCATAAACTGTGCTTCTTATTCTCTATTTAACACCAGCAGCAAAAAAAAAAAAAAGCTGAAATTATCTTTTGATTGTTTAACAGAGATGGTCAGTGATGACTGAAGTCTGATTATAAAACAGTTAAATGTGAAAAAGTCAGTTTTATTAGTTTGCTCTGCAGGAAACAGTGATGTCATCATCAGTCTGCAGCAACATGTTTGGATGTTTTAATAACTCAGTGGCAGCCTGCATCCTCCTCACAGAGCCCAGATTAAAGTAAGGTGCATTTAAAATAAAATTTTAAAAAAGGTCCTGACTTTTGCATTTTGAAGCTGATTTTTTTTGTTTTGTTTTAGAGAAAATAATTAAGAGCTGCTCAGTCTGTGGGTCACGAAGACTTAAATGTGGCTCAAATTTACAAACTTAAGGAAAATATCTTAGCCGTCTTCTTAGCAGGGTTGGGCAATATTGGCAAAAAAAATTAATCACGATTAATTGTGGTATTTAGCCGATAATGATTAATTTGACGATTAATGCCCTGGAGTCCCTGCACACCCGTCCTGGTCACATGACCAATTCAGTGGGAAAGATTTGCTCTTCGTAAAAATCTTTTCCAAATTGTGTAAAAATTACAGACTTCAGGCTGTACATCAAATTCTAAATTACGTTGATAGATAAATAAATTACAGAAGCTTTTTTTAATGTTCATATTTGAAGCGGAGAGGAGCAGCGAGCGGACTCTGCCTGCTGCATTAATCGTATTAATCAAATGCCAAAAAGTAATCGATTCATGTTTTTCTGACGATTAACTGCACACGATACGATTCTGCCCAACCCTACTTCTTAGATCTATTTTTTATTTGTGTTTTCCTCCCTTTGGTTCCACAGGAGACACGGTCCAGCTGTGAACGTTACAGGACTGCAGTGCAGCTGAAGGAGAGCCTGACTCATGAACTCTGAGGAGATTTAAATCAGAAAGTCAGCACCTGGACAGAAAATGGAGGTCATTTTGAGTTTTTATTATTCAATCAAAAAAACAAAGCAGACTCAACCAAAACATAATATTTCAACCAAACAAAAAAGCTATTTCAATAAAAAATATATAAAAACTTTTTTGAGTTTAAACAAAATTTTAGTCAACCAAAACTTGTTTTTTTTTTTGTTTGTTTGAAAGTATTATTTAGATTGAATTTATTTTGTGTTAATTATTTATTTTGGATTTAAATTATTATTTTTTTTGGATTGAAGCTGCTTTTTTCTTTTGATTGAATAATAAAAAAAACAAAATTACCTCCATACACAGACCTGGGATCCAGTCCGATCATATTTGTTTTGTGCTTTTTTCGCCACCAACACTGAAGCACACTGAACCAACAGAAGCTTGTCTCAGAGTTACACACATCTTTACTCCAATAAGCACATGTGTCAACCTCTCACATGGTTTCTCTGCTGGTCATAATAAAAATAAACTCTTGATCTTCCTGCGATGTTCAGTGTTTTTCAGAAGATCCAGACAGTGCTGAGACCTGATCTGATCTGAGACAAGTTTAAGATCTGAAACATGAAACTTGAACCGTTTATTAAAGCTCATCTGATTCCAACAGCACATCAAACTCTTTAGTTTTTGGTCTGAATAAAACTATGATTGTTTCCTGGAAAGTCTTAGGGGTAAACTCAAATGATGTGAAAAGTAATTAATGAGAAATAATTTGACATTTTGTTTGTATAATAATAGAATTTAGGGGTCAAAAAAGCTTTCTAAACCAAACCTTTGTTTGTTTTTCTGAGGACAGTTTTTGAAACTTTAGATGCTGATGTTGCTGATAAACAGGAGAGATCTTCCTCACGCAGGTGGGTTCCTGCTCCTCTTCCTCGGGGTCCAGTGTAGACGTGTCCTCCTGTCGTGGATCTGTCAGAGGCAACAAATCAAACAGAAACATTAGAACAGGCTGTCTGAACACACGCAGCTACACTCTGACACACGTTTCATCTGAACACTAAATTGTTGCAAAAGTAAATAATAATTAACTCTCTAACAGAACAAATTAATCAGTGCTCATAAAGAACTCAGTGAACCTAACAGAACCTGCCTGGTGCTGTCGGGTCCTGGTTGTCAGTGGGAACATCACGTCTCCCTCTCCTTCTTGACGGCGACGTCTCCGCCCACGCCTCCAGCTGCTGCCGCTGCGCTCCCAGATGCAGATGATGATGATGATGAAGATGACGACGCAGCTCCCGGTCCCGAGCCGACTCCAGACGCAGCGGCCGACCCGGATCCTGCCGGCCCCGCGCCGGTGCCCAGTATGGTGGAAACCTCTCCCTGCATGAAGGCCCAGGGGGGGCTGTTGGGGGAGTTATCCAGCGGGCAGCGCTCTCCGCTGGGGCAGTACACCTCCCCATCGCCCCGTCGACTCTGGATGTAGACCCGGGTGCAGGGGAAGCAGAACCTGGAGGACACAGAGGCGACATAACATGTTTATGTTACACAGCTGCTATAATGATGCACACAAACACAAAAACACACAACACACAAACCTGTGTCCTGGCACTGATGGACACTGGACAAAGTGTGTGTCTTCCAGTCTCTCGTGACACAAGGTGCAGGACAGAGTGTTTCCAGTTGAGTGGGCGCTGCTGGAGGACGCCGAGCCCAGCTCAGAGGCACCGTTGTTGGGTAAAGCCGCAGCAGTGGTGGCCGCCTCGGCTGAGGAGCTGGACCCCAGGGGCTCCCCTCCGGACCTGACGGTGGGAGGACGCGGTTGCCGGGCCGGGGACGAGGCCGGCTTGGGGCTGGTCTGGCTCACGCCTCCGGCCATGGAGAAGGAGGAGGAGGGCAGGCTCGTGCTCTTGCCGGCGCCAGACTGGGTCTGTGACTTGGCCTGGTTCTGGGAGGAGCTGAGCTCTCTCTCCAGCTCCGGAGTGATGAAGGGGGGGATTCCCATCCCGATCCCGAGCTGCCTGCGGCTCATCTCGGCCAGCATCGGCGCGGGGAAGATCATGGGGCCGCTCATGGGAGCTGTCCTGGCGGTCAGACCCGCCGGCATCCCCGCCAGCAGCCCATGGGGGATCCCTGCGATGCTTGACGTCACCAAACTGGGAGGGATGGCGGCTCCTATCATGGGTCTCCGGCTGCTGCTGGGGCTCTGACGGTTCACCTCTGGCGGTGGCTGGTCGCGGTGGAGCCCGTTGGGCGGCACGCGACCACCGGAGGACCCGGTGCCCTCCCCTCTCCCTCCCCTGTCGAAGCGGTCGGGCTGCTGCTGCCTGCCGCCGTCCGCGGAGGACTCGGACCTGCCGGCCAGCGCGCCGTGCTTGTTGGGAGAGGGACCGGGCGACCTGACGGTCCCGTCCTGCATGCCGTGGCTCCGCTTCAGCTGCCGGGCGCTCGTTATGAGGAACTCGATCTGGTTGGCTCCCTCGTAGTTGACGCAGCCCCGGCAGACCACCTCGCTGAAGTCCCACACCACGGTCCACGGCATCTTCGGCAGGTCGCACAGGTAGCACCACTGGCGCCTGGAGGAGGAGGAAGGGGACGACATGGCTGCGTGGCTGGCCGCCGACCTGTTGTTAAACCTGAGCGGGTTTCGACGATGCTACTATGCTAGCTAGGAGTTAGCCGCTGGTGCACGCCCTCTTTTCTTCGACTAAATGTCTGCCTGAACAGATCCCACAGCACTTTATAAAAACCTCACATGTTCTAAAGATATCCGCTTAGCTCAAATACTGGAGCCGTTCTCGCGCTTTTTGATGTTTTTGTTTTGTTTACCCACTTCGGCCTACTTCTTCACGGCTGTCACAGGCTTTTCCAACGGTGCTGGAACGTTACGTAACCACGCGCGGTGGATTGTGGGTGTTGGAGTTTACGTCACTGTTGCTACCAACGCTCTCTTTCCCAATAGAACTACAGCTAACACTGACACGGAAGTGAAGCGAATAAAAGGGTCACCGTTGTGTTTTTTTCTGTCAACACGTGTGCAACCCTCAGAGCAATGCGTTGAGGTAGGAACCATTTTACAGCTGTAGTTTAATTGTTTTTTTTTTTTTAGTATAAAAATGCCCAAAGACGTATCATCATCATCATCTTCGTCGAGCGAAGATGAAGCGGAGAATCCGGCGGCCTCGGAGTCGACAGAGACCAGTAAGATCCCATTAAAGGACTCCTCTAAACGGGCGTATTAAAGTGCTGAAATAAGTGATCAGGTTTTAATAAAAATATTTCATGTCTAGAACAAAACAGCGACACGTTGCATTAAAATAAACATCTCCTGCTCAACTCTGCCTGCTTCAAATGTAAACTTTGTGCAGTCAAAGTGATGAAGTCAAAGAAAGATCTCTTTTTTTAAATTAAAATAAAATTTAAAACCTATAACTATGTATACTGGTGCATTTTAAAATACATAGTTTAAGCTATGTTGATACGAAATTTGGGAATGCAGGGATGTACTCAAAGAAAACAAATACTTTAAAGTCAACCAAAAACCATTTGGAAGCTTGAGTCACGTGATTAACCTACATTAGGCTGCTGTAGTTGATTTATACATTAGTTAGATTTTATTAATCGAGTATTTCAATTTTAAAAAAACTTTATTGAACAAATCAGAGCTTAAATATGCATCAATACATCCGTCCCAACCAGCTGACATAACTGCTGTTGATCTATTTATAGTTACTTTGGCTGTTTTTGCAGCTAAAGCACACAAAAATTGTAGTTAGCGTTTGGTTATAAATTCAGCTTGAGACACATTAACCATCTAAATGTTAGAAAAATACACTCCTGATCAAACTCTTAAGACCAGTCAAAGTGCAAGAATTTGCATTTTGCACTGTTGGATCTTAAGAAGGTTCTAAGTAGAGCTTCACAATGTTAAAAGAAGAAATCAGTGCAAGAGACAAGGACTTTTGAGCAGGGAATTTTCTGAAAACTGCATTTACACTCAAACATGATTTTTTCAGCTGATCAAAAGTTTAAGACCATAGCTCAAAAAAACCCGAAAACCCCCCAAAACAGAAATCAAAGTGTCAAAAAAAGGACTCAGTAATGAGGAGCTCCACCACTCTTGTTGATGACTTCAAACAATGGTTTAGGCTTGATGCCAGTGTTTCCAGGAGGCTAGTGGGAACGTTGCTCCAAGTGTTGAAGATGGCTTCATGAAGGGCATCCACTGTCTGGAACTGATGTCCATTTTTGTAAACTTCCTTTGCCATCCGTCCCCAAATGTTCTCAGTTGGGTTTAGATCTGGGGAACATGCAGGATGGTCCAAAACAGTGATGTTATTCTCTTGGAAGAACTTTGTCAGGCGGGCATTGTGAACTGCAGCATTGTCCTGTTGAAAAACCCAATCATTACCACACAGACGAGGGCCCTCAGTCATGAGGGATGCCTGCTGCAACATCTCCAAATATCCAGCTGCTGTTTGACGCCCCTGCACAACCTGAAGCTCCATTGTTCCATTGAAGGAAAACGCACCCCAAATCATGATGGCGCCCCCACCACTGTGCCGTGTAGAAAACATCTCAGGTGGGATCTCCTTGTCATGCCAGTAACGTTGGAAGCCATCAGGACCATCAAGGTTAAATTTTTTTCTCATCAGAGAAGACAACTTTCTTCCACCTTTCAATGTCCCATGTTTGGTGCACCCTTGCAAAGTACAAATGGGCATTTTGTGGTGTTGAAGAAGACGTGGCCTTTGAAGACGTTTTTTGTTTCTGAAGCCCTTCTCTCACAGATGGTCTGATGGTTATTGGGCTGCAGTCAGCACCAGTAATGGRCTTAATTTGGGTAGAGGATCGTCCCATGTCTTGACGGACAGCCAATCGGATCCTGCGGTTCAGAGCTGGTGAAATTTTTTTGGGTCTACCACTTGACTTTTTTGTTCCACAACCCTCAGGATCATTTAAAAAATGCAAAATGACTGTCTTACTGCGTCCAACTTCAGCAGCGATGGCACGTTGTGAGAGGCCTTGCTTATGCAGCTCAACAATCCTACCACGTTCAAAGTCAGTGAGCTTTTTTACTTTTGCCATCAGGAGGTCTTGACAGTGTAAAGACTTGACAGAAAATGACATGGAATCCAGATTTTTGCACAGATTTTGGCTTTTAAAGACTATGATCTTAAACTTTTGATCAGCTGAAAAAATCCTGTTTGAGTGTAAATGCAGTTTTCAGAAAATTCCTGCTCAAAAGTTCTTGTCTCTTGCACTGATTTCTTCTTTTAACATTGTGAAGCTCTACTTAGAACCTTCTTAAGATCCAATAGTGCAAAATGCAAATTCTTGCACTTTTTTGACTGGTCTTAAGATTTTGATCAGGAGTGTATGTGAATGTGGAAATTTGTGAAAAATTCATCTTTACTCTTTCTTTCAGATGTTTTATGATGAAATAATTAACGTTGTTTTTGTCTCCACAGACAATAAGACGACAAAGTTCGAGTGTCCTCAGGATTTTGTGTCGTTCCGCCACGTGCCGTGCCGCAGCACCCTGACAGACAGCCTGAGGAACGGCGAGAATGAGCTGTGGCTCATCAAAGCCCCTCACAACTTCAACCCTGAAAGGTCCGTACGCTCTGTCTCCGCCCCCTGCTTTAAAGGGGTGGAGCCAAATAACTGGCATATAAGTGGGAATGTTGAATTTAGATTTTGTGAAAAATTGTTTTTGACGGCATAGTCTAGTCTCTAGTTTTAAAGTCAGCTTTGTCCCACTTAGTGGGCTTCGTTAGACCTCAGATGTTCACCTGATCAAACATCTAACAGGTGTTTTTATGTCTTCTGGTGATTCTTGCTTTGTATTATTGTTTAGTTTTCATCAGGAGTTCTTAACATTTTTGGCCTCGGGGCCCAATTTGTTGAACATAAAGTGGCACAAGGCCCAGACATTACCAATGTATGGATCAAAAATGATAATTATTCTAAATCTTGGTTTAATTTGTATTGTATTTACATCATAACTTAATTAAATACACTTACAGTTTACAAGTAAAACTCCTGTAAAATAATCACAATACATGATTGACATTTTTTTGCATTGTAACTTGCCCATAACAATTATTAAGTCATCAGACCACTCAGGCTTATCAGCACAAACATAACATTTTTTTAAACAAACAATAACAAAAATAGACAACTCAATAAATAAATTTGTGGTTATACAATAAATACATTTAAATGTTTAATGTAATTGTTTCAAATAAAAAAAACTAAAAGTAAATTTGATAAATTGCAAATGAAAATAAACCTTTTTAAAATATTGTATGGTAGAACCAGAAGCTGCTCTTCATATTAGTGACAAACTGACATTTTTTGACGTGTTACCGATATTTGTGCTTCTAATTTTAATTTAAAATAGGTTTCCATTCTCTGTGGCTAAGGTTCTTCTTCTACGTATTAAAAAAGTTGTGAAACATCTGAGTGACGCACTACTGCTACTAGTGGTGAGAAAGTGCATTGCACGGTATTTAAACAATGCAGTCCCGCAGCCCAAAGTTAAAAACTTGTTTTTTTGAGGCCCTCAAGGTGGCGCTGCTGTCCACGGGTTAAGAATCTCTGGTTTTGATTAAATGATGTACAGTTCTGTTTCTGAACACCAAACTAATTACCTGTCCCTGGTTTTGTCTCCAGTTTCCGTGGCGTTAAGCTTCCTCTTTCCGGTCTTCAGACCCTGAAAGTTCCCTCTCCTGCGGGGACTCAACAGGTCTACAGCGTCCTGGCGTCGAGCCGCTGTTCCTCCGAGCTCCGCCTCCTCACCAGCGACGGCCGGGCTTCGGACGGCGCCACTTTTGGCCCCGAGTTTTCCGGCCTGCTGAACGTGTGCGAGAGTTACGGAGGCGGCGGCGGCGCCAACTGCGCCCCCCGGGTCATCCCTGCCGCCCCGCCGCCCTCCATACCCGCCGGGCTCAAGCAGCGCTTCCACCCCTTCGGCAGCAAGACCCCCACCCTCACCTACGTGGCCGAGGACGAGGCGGACGGCGCCGCCTTCGGGCCCTCGTCCACCACGCTCCGCCCCCTGGTGATGAAAAGGTTCTCGGAGGAGGCGGCCGGCGAGGATGACGAGGATGACGAGGATGACGAGGACGCCAGGAGGAAGAAGAAGAAGAAGAAGAAAGAGAAGCGGATGAAGCTGGAGCAGATGGAGGACATCATCAAAGTGAAGCAGGAACCCAAAGATCCGTTCCAGGAGAGCGAGTCGCCGGCAGAGAAGATTAAAAAGAAGAAGAAGAAGAAGAAGGAGCGGGAGGAGGTGGAGGAGGGGCTGGAGCCCAGCGTGACGGTGAAGGAGGAGGAGGTGCCCGTCAAGTGTGAACCCTCGGACGCTCAATACGATGACTCAGCAGATATCCCAGCAAAGAAGAAGAAGAAGAAAAAGAAAAGAACTGATGAGGACTGATGGACTTCCTTTTTTACTCATTTAGCAGAAAACAGACCAGTTGAGTCGGTTGAACCTGATTAAACTCGTTTAGCGTGTTTAAAAGCTTTAAAAGCAGAGCGAGTACAGCTGCAGGCAGGATGGAAAATACAATTTTAAAGGATGAATTTCTTCGTTTTCTGCCAGTTCCTGTCAACCTGTGGTGGATTGTATGGGATTAAAAACTGTGTTGCTGTGTTTATTTACACAACCTTGTCACAAGATCTGCTGCTTTTTGTTGCTTTGGTCAAAGAGTCGTGTTGTGGAGATACGGCCTGCAGGAAAACAAAATAAAGCCCATTTCTACGGAAAGAAAAGTGTTTTTATTGTTGTCATAAAGTAACATTTTCCTCTGAAGCAGGGATTTCATCCAGAATTTATTCTGAAATCTTAAACAAACTGAAAGTTAGGATTTAAAAAACAAATATTTCTAAAGATAAGTTTAAAATGCGTCAACTGTTGTTTTCCTGTTAATATGTTTTTAGAAATTAAACACTATAAAAGTTTATCTGTGAGGAAA